TAGACCTTCCCATTCCTTCTGTGGAGGGTTGGTGGTTAGTCAGAACTACTGATAATGGACCCTATACACCTTCATTTTAGGGGTGGCTTGAGTTTGGCTGACACAGCAAAGTAGTTGAGCAAGTGCTTTCATCATGAGTGTCCCAGTGCAAGCTTCCTGGCCACCAGGACTCTGTAGTAATCAACAAGGTTGCCAGGGGCACAGGGAGGGACAGGTCATTTGTTAGCTAGCTCTTTAAAACCAAGACCTGAAGGGCATATTCACTTTCTACTGCTACCCAGGGAACTGTGCTAAGTCAGCTGTAGTTTGTCGGTACTCACAAGCATTTAAGACACATCTCTGTTCAGCTCCCTGGTAAGCATCACACTATGCATTTGATTGTGCATAAGCTGCTAAATTATTTAATCATCTTAGACATTAGGAGACTCAGGAAGGCTGAAAGCCAAGGGAAAAAATATCTCCTTAACAGTTACATTGCATTAGCTATTTTGTTAGATCATCTGACTGTCACCTGAATGTCTTATTCAGAGAGTTAGAATTAGAAAGGTCAAGTTCCTGAGGTATTAAAAGACCTACATAAAGTTTGGGGTGGATGGAACCAAAATTAAGTCTAATGTGTACCTTTTCCTCAGACAGAAATAAAACAAAGCATTTGTAGCATCCTACAAACAGGTTAGTTTTTCTCCTTCCAGACTTCAAGTTCCTGTCTGTATTATGTAGTTCTGTGCATCCCTTCCTCTACCTCCTGCCATCCACACTGCTAGCCCCTATTCTACATATTGGGACCAGTTCAAGCAAGAACTGGCTTGTCCCACAAAGGGTGGATGAGCCAGGAAGTTTACTCCAGTCCTGGTCTTCTCTCCTGTTCAGCAGACCACCTTCTCTTTCTTGTATAGTAGGATATCAGGCCATACAAATAACATCTGCAGTTGTATGGATTGCAAGAAATGGGGAATGGATACTCTTATGATACTCTTATGTGTAACCTCTTATCCTGAAAGTGAATCCACCCATCTGGGCTTTTGAACTTGCTCAGAACTGAGCTAAAGTCAGTGGCCATGATCTGAGAGGCAAAAAGAGTGTACTTGAATCATGTTTACACAGCTGAATGAGCTTTTGGGATCAAATAGCTCCAGTAAGCTGCAAGCTAATGAACTTGTAGCTTGTCCATGGAAAAGGCTGAAATAATTTACTCTTCTCTTAGTAAAAAACTTGAAAGTATTGCTAAATCTCTTCTCTACTTCTAACCACAAAGGCACAATGTAGCAGCATAGTCTTTGGCAATCTCTTGTGCCCTTGGCCCTCTGTTCATGCAGCATCAAGCCCATACTTATTTTTCCTACTAGCATTTCTGTTAACACCATTGCCAGCATCCTCCAAACCTAGGATTTTGATTACTTTTCACTCTCAGCATTTTCTTCAAGTGCCTACTAACCAAAAGGATATGACAGAGCTCTCTCTTATTCAGAAAGATGTATGAAGCGAAACTCCAGGGCCAATAATCATCTTCTCCACGTTGATATGCAACAAATATTTTCCAGAAGTAACTGTAATCTGAGAAGAGAGATATCCAGTCACTCTTGATGAAAGGCATGCCCAATTCTTTCTTCATATGTCAGTGAGACACTTCTTTCTCAATAAGACAATGGTAAAGGGCAGGAGAAAAATATTCATCTGAGGGTATTCAAGCAAGGGACCAACAATGACTTGCAACTACACAAATAAGTTAGTGGAAAGGGGAACCAAAACTCTACAAATAGCAATACGTCTAAAAAGGGGAATCGCCAGAGAGAGACATCACTACAGTGGCTTGGGCAAACCCTATCACAGATAGCACATGAGGGCATAAAGCCAGGGCACACTGGCCAAAGGAGAAGGAGTCAAAGAAGCAGCAGGCTGCTTCTTTGGGAGGGACTGAAAAGGGAAGTGGCACATGCAATCAGGGCTGTTCAGGCATACCTTTTGGCAGCCTTGTGCTTGATCACAGCAGCTTGGGGTAACACAATAAACCTGTTGCTTCAATCATGAATCTGTCTGACTTCTCTCAATGATCAGGGAAAACCAGGAGTGAACACCCTAACATTTAACAGTTTCATATTGATCTTAGTGTTGATAGGATGGCCAGAGCTTCTGTCAATGCTCTGGTGGTATAATCCCAGAAAAATGTTTCCCAAGATAAGCAACGTCCTTTAAGCTTATATTTGACCTGATAGGTTCCGTAGCTGCACACTCCAATAGTAAGTATCCGGAGAGGTATGTGAGGTTCATCTCTTTGGATGTACATTCCTTTCTGTGAGCTATTTGTCTGGACTATTTTTACAGCCAAACATCAACAGGCAAGCAAGATATACATACAAAAAGACATATGTGCAAGACACAATTGTCCTCTGTGATGCATCATCTGAAAGTCTCCTTTAGATATCTCTCCTTTTCTCTAGCTATCAAGGGAAACCAATTACTTGCTGCAGCTGCCAAGCTGATCTGCATATGTATCCTAGGAGGTTCTATCTCATTCTCAGCAGTTTTCACTGTATATAAAGGAGGCATGGATGGCTAGAGAAAGACATAACTGTCCTTGTTCAGATTTGGCAAGAGGAAATGACCATGCTGGTCCTGCTGCTGTATGGAATTGGGGAAGAAATAAGGCAGCAGAGAGTGGCATTTTTGTACTCACCACTCCTCTTCAATGCCAGTCATCACCACTATTACAAAGCACAACTGCTGAGAGTGCACATAATCCCAGAACTTTCAATCCACACCTAGACAAAGCCAAAGAGTAGCTGGGTTACCTGCAAGATTCATGATATGTATCCTGACTCCTTTCATTGCCAGGTTCCTAAGACCTTGCCGGTTACGGTTATCCAGGTGCCTGAACAGCTTGGCTGCGTATATTTCCAAGGTCACATTGGGATATGCATTCAGGAACTCCAGAATTCTTCTGGAGCATTTCCCACAGGGGGTAGTAGATAGGACCCAGGTGATAGAGCAAGAAACTGATGTCCTGGCCAGGAAACAAGTTTCCAAGAAGTTGATTTCAGCATGTTGGGTAGCATTGTTTGAACACCAGCTCCTCCAGATGGTACCTCTGCTCCACCTGATTTCATATAGCAGATACACCACCCGTGGATGTTTGCCAGGCAAATAATTTCTTTTGAAGTCATCTGGCTGTATCTTCCACCTGCAACAAAAGTACTATGATCCCAACACTTCAGTGATGTTTGGTCCCATTTTATGTTGCCTGCTGTCAACATCAGCCAAACGTCCCACTCTCAGCCTTTCCCATTACAAGCTAGCAGCTTGAAGAATATTGCAATCTAATGATCTAAATCTGAATTTGATGAACGTTCCAGAACTATTTCCCTAGAGTGGCCCTGGTGAAACAGCCACAGCACCTCCTTGACATGGGTTGGGAGGGTAAGCAACTCCATCACCACTATCGGGGAAAGGGATGGTAAGAGGAAAACAAGGCACAAGGCTTCTTAGCTTTGCCTGTCTGTAGAAATTGCCATGGGGCCCAGGCAGCACAAGGTGATAGAACTGTATCTCTTACCCTTGGTTGTTGTCTCTGGATCTAGGACCTACATAGAAAAGATTTGAAGGTCACTGGGGATAGTAGATCGAAAAAACAAAATTTCCTCTACCTCTCCTGTCCTGGCCCCTTTCAGTCTATACACTCCCTGTCAAAACTCTTTCATCTAAGAGGGCTTAATAAGTAATCCCTCCACAGCAGAATAGCCACTTTGGGATGCAGGAGTGGTGGATTTCTACCTGGGAGCTAAACTTGATGGTTGTTTAAACTATGCTGTACACGAACCTTTCCTCACTTTAACAAATTAGAGTTGACCGTGATCTCACTCAAGTTTAACATCACAGGTTTCAGCATCTGATTTTCCGTGACTAATTAAAGAGCAGAATCAAATCTTTTCTCCCTTTGTATCTTCCAAACCACTTCTGCCAGGCAAAACTTGAGCTATTTCCCTATTGGTACTCATAATGTCAATCTAGACAAAAACATTCTCACAGCCAATGGTTCTTTCTTTTCTTAGTATGAAAATGTTTCAAAAAGCTGAAAAAATATCAGTGCAGAAAGAAGGGTGATTTCTAACTAACAAATACCTATGGGGTGGCACCACAGACCTGCCTGATAATATACATTTTGTCTCTCATGGTGGCAAGGAAATTCGATCCTATGACTCATTCATCCCTTTCCAGCTGAGAGTCTAGATGAAAACAATTGCAGGTGATCAAGGCTCATTATTTCTTTTGCAGAAGCCCATCCATAGCAAACTTAAGGATCTAAGAACCCTCATTTTATTGAAGGAAATAATTAATTTACTAATTAATTTAATTAAGATACTAAAGGCACTTTTCCATAGCTCTTAGCTCTTTAATATGAAGAATTATGAAATATACACAGTGAAATTACATTTCAGC